TTGTGCTAAAATAGAAAGGCGTCGTCTCCTCTTCCCTCCCCACCGCTGCCTTGGCCCCTGTGCAGTCCTTTGAACAAATGCTGGCTGTTTCAGTATCTCCAACAGTTTTGCAAATGGTGCGCTTGGACAAGAGCAGTCTTAGCTGTAGGATGAGATGGCTTCGGTTTGGAAATTGGTCATTCATGTTGATAACAGGTATTAATTTAATCAGCCTCAAATTGATGAAAGGTATCTCCTGTGGAAACAAAGATAATTTGCTATTGATTGTGGCCCTGTATTTTGATGTAAATTCTAGGCTTATTTTGTTTTGTGAAAGGCTGGCATAGCCTTGTATAATCTGAAGGAGAGGAGGAGGAGGGGGGAAAGGAGGAGAGCGCCTCACAATTGCAAAAGTTGTATTTGCTCTATTGTCCCTTTACCTGAAAACTTTATAGATTAGCTTTTATAATCCACTTTGAAATGTTTGCCATTTTTAAAGCAGAAGCAATCTTTGCAGTTTTCAGGAAGAAGGTCATTTTATACAAAATGTTCATTCGTGTGCAACAAAGCTTATTTCTTCGACAGGGACAAAGAAATAATGAAGGCTCCTTAAAAGCTGTTTTTCTCTGAAGAAACGATCATCTTGATAGTTGATGATTTATATGGGCCATTTCTATTGGAATTGAAAAGTAAAAATATTTGTATCAATAAGGATTACTGAATGTTATTAAGCTCACTGGTATGAATCTTAAGAGGGAGAGAAAGAAGTCTTAGATTTCTTTGTGTCTCCTTTGCCCATCTCTCCATGGTTTTCCTTTATTTAGCCTTGGTGTTTTGCTTGATGATCATCGTTTGATGTGGCCTCTGTGTCCCTCTCTGAGATCTAGCTGTTTTCAAAACATTTTATTGCCTCCAACACTTTGTTTGCCAAGTCCCCATGGGCTTGAACTCCCTCTCAGCACCTTTCCTATTTCTAGAAAAGTGCCTCTTCTCCTTCAATGTCATTTCTGGGAAACGTTCTGGTCTACTGACAGCTTTCCTTGTTACTTATCACTTCATGTTGAAACAGCTACTTTCCTTGTCTATGTCCCTTAACCTTCTGAAAACTATCTCTTCTTTCAAGGGTCCCTGGTGGTGCAAATCCCACAACCTGGGAGATAGTTTTCTGATTACTCTAGTTACAAAAGCAGCTAAGATTAATCTAACTATTACAGAGTGATAAAAACTTTGAGCACAAAAGGAATGAAAATGTAAATGTGAATCTCTTTTTATTTTTATGTAGTGGTTCTTAAATGGGTAGCTACTGACCCTTGATAAACAGGCGTGTGGAAATTAGTCTTGAGGTTATATCACTTTTACTTTGTCTAGGTTCTCAGAAACATCTCTTCATATGCTGACAGCTTTTAAAGAGGATAAAGAGTTTCCATATTTCTGGGATTGATTGTTGGAAAGCTTCGACATCTGGTGTTCTTTTGTCCTCATCGCTGTACACGGACATGTAGAGTTCAAGCTGTGCCATGTGGCACAGAGGTAGCGTAGCCCTGGCCCCAGGTCTAGACTGACTGGCCAAAGGTTACTGTTACTCCATCAAACTCTAGTCCTTAAAACAAAACTCACTGCATCTAGTGTAAGATGTAGGTGGACATGCCTCACTGGATGTGGTTGGCATGCCGGGATTCCTTCTCCTTGGCAAGGTGAATCTATTTGGTTGTTTTTCTACAGATTTAAGTCTTGTTGATTTGAGGGAAGACTCAAATGTTCTCTCATTCTGTTATTACTGATAATTCCATAACTAGTGGCAAGTAAATTATCAATGCAGACAGTTCCATGTTAATGATTATAGATTTTCCTTTGAAATCTCTCACTTGAGTTTAAATTTTATTTGAGAAAGAATTATGTATTCACTCCAGAAAAAAATGACAATAAAAGCCTAGTGTGAGTATCAAATATGTTGTTGCCAAGCATTCAATGAATCCCACTAAACATTAAGTGTTTTGTAACCACCCCTAAATTCCACTATCCCTTGGTGACGGCATTTAGAAATCAAAACTTTTTTAGCCTTACATAAATAAAAATGACCTTTCCTTTGCTACTCCGTAGAGTTTTCACATTTGTGTTTTGTTTTAAGGATTTACATTAATGTTCTGTTTCTCCAACTGGATCATGACACAGAGTTTGACCTCTGTGATGTCTTTAACCCTAGTCTTGATTTAAGTGTTTTGGAGGAGATGATGGGAGACTTTGCATTCTGTAATGCTGTACAGATTATATGTGGGGTCATTGTAACAAGAAATAGGATGTGATTTTAAATGAAATGCTTTAATATCTCAGCTGTTCCCCTTGGCAGTTTTGCCTTCACCACAGCTATAAATATTATCCATGGTCTATGGCTTCTAGTACTTTTTATTTATAAAGATAGCTTTTGTTTGTACTTATTTAGCTAAAATGTAAGATTTATTTAGAAATATAAGAAGCCAATGAAATGTATATCAACTCATGAATTACAACTTTTTAACTTATAGGTGCTTTGTTCCAAGGCTGGGAGATATATTTCTGTATATTATTTTCATTGAGTAAGGAAATGCTTTAGCATTAAAAGGGGAGGAGGGTTCTGTACCACAAAACTGCAGGTTCTCCTTACCTTGAAGTTCAGTTTTGAATACTAGTCTACGAAGCCATTTTTATTTTCAATGTTCATTTTTAATTAAAAACCACATTCACAATTCTGTAATCCTATCTGCAGATCCAAAAGGGGAATTCATACAAGAGAAAATTAACTCATTATTATTAAAAGCACACTGCTTTTCTAATATATACAATAGAGCAGCAGTTTTCCTCAGGCTCACAGGAAGTCCCTCACTGAACAGCTAAAATATTAGCAAGTTCAAATTAATTTTTCTTACCTATGATAATCAAACATACTTTTAAATATGCTTAATTTGACTTAGATGGAAGGGAATTGTGTTCAGAAACAAGACATTATAGGATGTTATTTACTATGGGAAACATCAGATTTGGAAGCTGAGTAGTTTTGATTTTGTTAAGTAATGATTTGATTTATTTTAAATTTATTAGCAGTAGGAACTAAGTCTCCAGGATTCCATTTAGGTAAATTTATGGCACATGATTTCCTTTTTAAATGGCGTTTCTTTCAATTCATATATCTGTATAAGAGTATTTAAAAGAAAAAAATCAACCCTACTTTGTTCTTGCCACAAGGTACACAATCACTGATACACTGTCATTACTGTTGTGTGCAAGAGCTGAACCTGTTCTTGGGTTTTCCCCTTGAATCCTGCCATACAATGAATTGCATCCCTCTGCACATCCAAGTGTAGGTGGGGTAATGCCGTGGCTGCTGCAAGCTCTCTTTCAAAGAGCTCCTTTTCAAAGTACTTACTTGCTTCACACTAGCTAGCTATTCTGTGCAGCTTCCAGTTGACTATTTTTTTTTTAAAGCCACATTTCCTAAGGATTTGTAATAAACAGCATGATGGGGAAATATCTTTATGTAAACAAATGTGTAGAACTGGGGTGTGGCCTGAGAATGTGCATTCCTAGCTTCTCAGGTGAAACTGACACTGCCAGTGGGAACCATACTGCTGCTCTGGGTCACCCTTACTTGTACTTGGGGGATGGGTGTACTTGCTCAGTATATCTCAGCTCAGTTAAAGGTAGGCTACAATTAGGACAAGAAAGACATCTTCTGGCTTTGTAATCTTTTCCTGGTGTCTATCTTCTGTTCTTTAATTGCCTAGAGACGGAGAATCCCCTTCCGGGAGGAAGTGTGGGCAATTGGACTTGCCACTCCTTTTATATTCTTGTCTGTGGGCAGCACTGTCTCTGGCTTGTCCACCTCTTCCTTTATATGAGGACAGAGGCTTGGTGCCTTATCCCAGGACCAGATAGTACTCAAATATATTCCAGCCTTTATTTATTTTCATGTTATATTTAATAATTATTCATAGAATATTTAACTGTTGGTTTGACATCATTTAGAGATTAATACCAATGTCATTATTTTTCAAACAATACCTATTACAGTCAGGCCTGTGTTATGGCAAGGAACAGCAAGTTAAAGGCAGCACAAGCTGCAAGAGCAATCATAGGAAAGATAGAAATGATTTAATTTTCACTTGGATCTAAAAATTTTGCTTCTAGTGCAATGAAATTTCAGTGAAATATTATTCCACTAACTGAGGTTTCTGCAATATCCTCTAGCTTACATTTTTATGGTGGGAAGTAATTTATTGTTGGCAAATTCAAATTAAATTAAAAATGATTTTGATAGTTGACTAATTGTCTTTAAATGGAATTTCATGAAGTTGTTTTTATAAGGATATGAATTGGTCGAATTTAGTTGGCTAAGAAGAATAACAAGAGTGGCGTATTTATGGGTCCTGCTCATTAATTTAATTTTAGTGATTTTCTTATTGGGATGCAGATTGTCAAAATGGCATTGATGTACCATAAAATTCAAATACCTGTCACCTGGTAATTACATACTAGACCTGGGTGCAGAAAGTCTTGACCTTGAATGACTGAGGGAATTAAAGTAAGTATTCTTTTCCAAACCATTGGGGAAGTAAGTTAGCCCACTTAGAGTTGGACTCAATTCAATTCAATAAATCTTGACTAAGAACCTTCTATATGCAAGGAATATGTTCTTCTAGATCGGTTTTGGAGTCCATTTTGGAGCTCAAGGGCCATCATTGAGTCACTATGAAAACTTTTCCACCATAACAGTTAAAAGGGTGATAACACACACAGGCATGTACCAAAATATGTGTTCTTTGACAGAAATACTAGTTAGGAGAATTAAGATCGCATTGTGAAGACAAAAACCAGATATTGACAGTGATATTATTTTCAGTTTCCTAGGAACACAGGCACCAACTCAAATCAACATATTGTGATATAATTTGTCACTGGGGCAATGGAGAAACATTAGTCTTTTCACATTACTGAGATGAGGTCCAGACCAAACTTCTGACCCTCTGTGTTGCTTCCTGTCTTTTCAGCGTCTTGTGGAGGCTGCAGAAGAAGCACATCTAAAACATGAATTTGATGCAGACTTGCAGGTAATTGATTACGGTTTGAGTTCATTTGTTTTGTGTATTTGCTGCAAAAGGAGAAATACTGGGTAAACTAGGAATACCAGACTTTAGTGGTTGGCAGAGAAAAGGCTTTTTGAGGGGATGGTACAGAGTGAAATGAATGTTCCCTATTTCTTGAGAAGCCATGATGTCTATCATCAACCATTTTCTACTATGACAGTTAACTTACATGCATGTATTAGATTTTGATGAATTCTTCCCTCCCCAGTTATAGGGAAAATTAATCTGACATTCATAAACCTCTTAATGATAAATTGATAAAATAGATGACAGAATACATCCAAATCTCACTCCACTAGCCCCATTTTAAGTGACTGTAAGCAGTGTTGTGGTGGATCTAACCTGAACTGACTGCTAATTATATTTTAAAATGAAATCCTTCACAGACATGTGGTTTAAACATCTACTTGATAAATTTCTTACAGTGAATCTTGTATCTGATCATGGTCTACCTGAGTAAGGTTAAGAAGGATTTTGATGTTGCTGTGTATATGGAAACCATAAAATGTAACAAGCAAATTGAAGACTACTTGAAGTTTCCTTGGGTTCCTCTAGAAGGAAAATTTATCTGTATTGTCATCTTGAGCTCTGTATTATTTCTTCATTATTAAGAAAACAGAAGGAGATATTCTTAAAGTGTGCTTTGCTAGAATATATCTCTTTTAGTGGTGTGGTCACAGTTAAGATTAAGAAATTGTGTTTATTTTACTATACTCTCATTTATATGGAAAGTATAAAGACAGAATGCCAGATAAAGGCAGGTGATACCAAAGATAGCCTTTGGCTATGTCTTTGTTCCATGGAGGTACCTTTTACCCCTCCAATTTCATTTTTTTTTTTAACCTGTAGGTAAGAAAATGCACACTCAATAAGTAATTGAGGACAGTTTATTAAAGATAAATTTACAAATGTATGGTAAAACAAATTGAGATGATGTTTCATTTCATTATTTGGCAACCTTGGGAGTTCCCAAAACCTCTTCAGAAATATTTTGTTTGTAAATGACAACAAGTCAACTCCAATCAACTTAAATTAGATTATAATGTTGAATAAAATCAGAATTCATAAATGCACTCTGGCAATAAGCAAACAAGCTGATAAACAGATACATAAACAAATGAAAAGGGAGAGCTCTTATGGTAGAATCCCAACTAACAAATACAGAATAAATGATAGGTTTAGAAAATAATGGTAATAATTGATACAGGCAAGAATCTTCAATGGCTGCTAAAATTAGTACATAAAAATTTGATGAAGAAAGGGATATTGACAGTGTTGAATTATCTACCCACCAATTACTTATTAAACCACAAAGGGAAAGTAGCAACCTTGTTATGGAGAAACCTAGTAAACACAACCTTAAACGGATAATCACCAATAATGAGACAAAGTGACATCAAGCGCCCTAAGATGTGATGACCAGAAAGTTAACATTGTCACCTGTGTAGAATTCTTGCCCAAAATATGTCGCCTGAATCTAATGATGATAAAACATCAGAGAAATTTTGATTGAGGAACATTCTGAAAAGTAATTGGCTAGACTATTCAAATGTGTCAAGGTTTTGACACACACACACACACATAGCAGAATATTGCTCAGCTGTTTAGTAAATGATGAAGTCCTGGCATTTGTAGTAAATGGTGGATAGATCTAGAGAATGTTATGCTAGGTAAACTAAATTACACAAAGTAAAACATTATGATTTCACTCAAATGTGGTAGATAAATGAAACAAACAGATGTACCAAATAAAATAGAAATAAACTCTTAGACTCTTCAGAACATAACCAGAGGGGGGAGAATGGCTGTATCAGGTGAATGAGACTAACTGTATGGTGATGGGTGGAAACTAGAATTTTGGTGGCAAACGTTATGAAGTATATGCAGTTATTGATTTATAAAGCTGCTCATCTGAAACCTATATAATGTTATAAACCTAAGCTACTTAAATAAAAAAGTGAAAGTCAAGAAAGCAAGGGAACATTGAGGACTGTTTCTGATGAAGGAACATGAAAGACACACGACAATTACATGCAATGTGTAATGCTGCATTGGGCCCTGAACCAGAAACAGCTGATCACGCACTCTGCATCATTACTAATATTCTATCAATGGTAAATTTCCCAGTTTTGACCCTAATGTTGGGTTTATGTAATAGGCTGTCCTTGTTCTTTCTTTCTTTTTTTTAATGGGCTAAACGTTTGGATCCATTGATCTAGTAGCAAGAAGTTTGCAAAAAAGTGGAAAAGATTACTGGTAGTCTGGACTCTTTTGGAAAATCTGGTATTTATGGCTCATGTAGTCGGTTTTATCCTGAGATCAGTTGTCCACAAAAGCTAGGTGGGAAACATTGGGAATGATTTATTTGATTTGGGGGGGATAATTCACCCTTCATCGAAGGAAAAAATGGTCTGTGGCTTAGTTCAACTATCCTAGAGCCATTCTTTTCTGTCTGAAGCATTGTTATCTTCAAGAGTGTTCCAACTTCCTATTGTTGAAGCCTTACAATAAGGTTCTGGGGAAGCACAACTGATTCCCTTGTCAAATGTGGGGCTGAAAATACGAAAGCAGCATAAGATCTTTTGAAAAAAAATAGGAGCTGAAAAAACAAATCTCAGAGCGCTATGATTTTTGTTCTCCTGGGAACAAAGAAGGGGAATTTAGTTTTTCCTCCCCCATCATTTGTTCTGGATGAGCACAAGAGAAATATCAGAGGCTGCAGCTGTGGTCTGAACACAGGAGTAAATGTTGAAATATCTGTCAATATAACACTGTCACTCACTATCCAAACCTTAGACCTCAGTGAAGTCTGGGTCTGAGTACACCATGTACACTTATGGGGAAACCTGTAAAAGAGGGGGTTTGAAGAAAAAGGAATTGCATTGAGGAACGCATGTTTGCTTAGGCGAAGGTTGTGAAGCAGTGAAGCTTCAATGCTATTAAGTGCAAGTCTGTTAGCTGCTTGAGTGTCAGCTCTGTTGCTATTCCTGGGGTAACAGGTCTGTGTGCAGGCTCTGAGTTTATTGCCCTGATGGTCCATTAGAGCTGATCAATTGTTAATCTGGATTCTGCTGACCTCTCTCCAACCTCTGCCAGTGGATTGTTTTTATCAAAAAAATTTCAGGCTACCATCTGCTCACTGTGAAATAATGCTGAGGAGATCCCTGTGTTATTAGTTTAGGAAGAACAGAGTGAAGTGGGTAACGTTGCCTTAGAGAAAAATAAGAAGTGAATTTTTGGTGAAATTTCCTAAACCGTGGAGCTTCAAGTGTAGTCTTAATTCCACTTTTCCCAAAATAGAAAAGAGATCTTGGATATGCCCCTTCTTTCAGTTTAGATTGGATTCTTTTGTCTTCGTGCCATTCATGTGCTTTAGAAGTGGAGACTTTGTTTTTCACTGGGAGAGTCTTCAAGACTTATAAGAAAAGTCATGCCTTCTTCATTGTCAGGATCTTATTCCCCATTTAAATACCCTTTATATATATATATATATATATAAAACATAATAGTTTATTTTTACATCATTTTGTACATTTTTTTCATCTCAATTGTAATCCTCGTGGGTTTCCCATCACTGAGTCACCCTAAATACCCTTTTTATAGTCTTTCCAGAGATTTGATTTCCCCCCTGTGGACTTAATGGCTTTAATATCAGCAGACCCTTCCTAAAGTCCTTAAATGTGGCATTAGATGGCTAGTTCTCATCAGAAGTTATATTGGGCTAGAGACAAAGCTCTGAGGCTGGGAGCCCCCAATAAATAGTGTGCACCCTCCCTGGTAAGCAGAACTGGCTGGTCTGCACTGGCTGGAAAACTTTCCAATGTCTGTGGACACTGGTGTCAGCCTTATCCCCCATAGTGATTGCCTATGGATTCTAGATGGTCTTCTTGTTTTTTTTTTTTTTCTTTATTACCTCATATATCTCCAATAGGGCAGTTTTCCATTATAATGAATGCAAGTATAGGACTTTTAAAATACATATTCCTTTTTTGATTTTATGCTTTGAAATAAACCTATTAACATAAGATTCTTAATGTAAAACATGAGTTTCATCATGATAGTGATAACAGTCTTTATTATCACATATGATTATTTTAGTGTTTCACCCTTGTTCCTTTCATGACCAAATTTAATCTGAGTTGGAGAAAAGGTGCTGGGTGGTCTCTGGGATCACCCCTGACTGTCTAGCCATTGATGAGTGTCCAGAAAACTAGATCTATACATGTATATAAATCCGAGAGAATGCCTTGTCTCCCTCACTCTTTCTTTGGGTTTTTCCACTGGCAGCAAAGAGGAAGAAAAAAGTCCTTTTGGCAGTTTACTAAAATCCTGCCTATCTCTGAACCACAAACATATTTTCCTTGAAAGCTGTCTCAAATAAGTGCCAGTTGCACAGAGCTGGTGCACAGCCGGGGGAAAAGAATTGTGGTTTTGAATTGTGTATACTGCAGAAGTGTTTTCCATTACGATGTTTTCTATAGTATTTTTTTTTTTGTAAGTAACAATTTTTAAAAGGCCTGGAGACACTCAGAGGGATAACATCGTGTAAATGTGCAAGAGCCTGAGGCAGACCTTTGGTCATCACGCAGCAGCAGCCTGCTGGCAAGCATAGTGGCCTCATTTCCAAGCTGGGTGAGGGTCTTAGAGTGGAAGAGTTGCAGACTTCTGATGGGACATTTCCTAGACAGGGGCTTAAGATACGTGCTGGAGCAGCTTCCACCCCACGGCCTTGGCCTGTTGTGATGGGGGAGGGGCAAGGCTGAGCAGGAGAGGTGGGGCTGGAGAGAGCAGTGACTTAGAAGCCCTGCTCCTCACAACTAACACCATCGCTGGGAGGAGGAAGCCTTTCTTGGAAAGGATTAAGAAGGGCAATGGAGCAGCAAACAACAGAGCCAGCCCTCCTTTTCTCTGTTAGCGTTTCCCTGCTGGCAAAAGAGGCTGTTGCCCTGGGGAACAACTCTATG